CCGCCCCTTCCCGGGAGCTCCCAGCTCAGGCTTAGTCGCCCTACTCTGTGCTCCCCAGGAGGGTGGACGGTGACACACCTGGCTGCTCGCTCTGACCGGGGAGATGCCTCCGCCTGGCGGAAGGGCTCCGGGCCCTGGCCTGGTCTCCCTGCGGCCCGAGGCCGGCTCCACGTCCTCCGCGGTGAAGTCTGAGCTTAACCAGGCCGGGCAGAGGCTGCCAGGCACCTGCTCCCCGCCTGGGTGCGGCTCCCTGAGTACGCTGGTGCCGGCGCCCTTGCCGGGACCCCGCGCAGCTCGGCCCTATTCGTGTTTCTGGCTTGGCTTGGAGGGAAAGTGAAGGACTGCGTGCAGATGCCTCGTTGGGGATGCGCACTCTCTCCTCTCTCTCATGAGCACACATGCCTTTGGGGGGGGGCGACACTCAAGAGTAAGGGCCGGTGGGGAGGAGAGCAGCCCCTTGGGGAGCCCGGGGACCTGGAAGCAGGGGCTGACATTACGGTCCGAGACCAGCTCTGAAGTGCCCGCCCAGGACAGACCAGGAACGGGAAGAGTGCGTGGGGACCAGCTGGCCCTGGGCGCTGGCGGGGGCTGCTTGGTCCTCAAGGCCAGCTTCTCCTGAGCTCAGCCCCCACCCTCAGCTGCAGTGCCGGGACCCTGTGCCGGTAGCTCTCCTGGGGGTTCTCTGCAGGTGAGCAGAAGCGCAGGTCGGCCGTGCCGGGGAGCCACGTCACGTGTGACACGCTGTCACCCCAGGCTACCATGTCACATGTGGCATGTCATCACACAGGCTACCATATCACGTGTGACGCGCTGTCACCCCAGGCTACCACGTCCCTAGCGGGGCCACCATTCCCGGCCAACCCTCCATTCGGTCTCTGTCTGTGCCACTCCCTGCTGGACCAGGGTGTGGTGAGGGTTTGGGAGTAAACGGTGTCAGCACGAGGGGAGTTGCTAGCACCCATTTCTAGAGATGACGGGGTTCAGGAGCCTCTGGCCCTGCCCAGCTGACAGCCACTCCCTGTAGCCCCACTGTGCGTCCTACCTCCACAGCTCCCCGGATCTGGCGGGGGCTGGGAGTCTGTGCCCCCCGGGGCCCAGGGACAGGGAGCTGGGCGGCTCCGTGGGCCCCGGTCAGGGCTTTCACGGTCAGCGCAGAGAAGGTAAAGCGAAGCCAGACTCGCAAGGCGGAGTGTGGACAGAAATCTGAGAAATACACACGGGGCAGTGAGCATGCCCAAGGCTCTCCAAACCCCGACAGGTGGAAAGGCAAAGTCCAGGAGCCGGAGAGGGCGGAGGCGGTGCGTCCGCGGCCCTGGGGGAGGCCTTGGCCCTGGGGGAGGCCTTGGCCCTGGCGCTCCTCCAGACACCTGCTCAAGCCCCAACGTGTGAAGACGCCGCCCCACTCAACGACCCGCCCGCCCAATCTAGCAGGGCTGACGCGAGTGCCTCCACTTTGACTCTGCCCCTCCGTCACCGTCTTCCCGTGCTGCTCACATCAGGGCTTGGGTGCCAGGATGGACTTGTCCCACTGGAGGGACGTAACAGCCCGTGTCGAAGCCCTCTTGGCCACTTTGTACACGGGGGGCTTGCAGGAGCAGTGCCCTGAAAGGACTCAGTGCTCTCTCCAGCACGCGGCGCTCAGGCAGCGGGCAGAGCTTTCTGCCCATGGGCACGGCGAGGAAGCACCGTTGGCCTCCCTGCTGTGGGGTCCCTCGGAGTCTGCACAAAAGCCCCAGCAGGAACTGGGAGCCAGCCTGAACAGAGGGGGCGCTCGGAACTGCCGGGCCCCACGGGGTCAGAACACCAAGGGCCACGGGGCAGGAGTGGGTGTGGCCGTGAGCACAAGGGCTCATGGGGGACAGAGGTGTGGGACCCTCCGCTGCCTCGAGGGGAGGTTCCCCAAGACCAGGGCCCACCTGACCGAGAAAAAGGCCTTCTGCACATATGTGCCCATGTCCACATGTGTCCAAGCAACAGGTGGGAATGTGTCCATGTAACATTTACACATGTGTGTGCCCATGTGCCTGGCATGTGTGTGCATGTCCACATACGTGCATGTGTGACGCATGTCCATGTGACAAGCATGCAAGTGTTGGTGGCGGGCATGTCTTCCTGCCTCACCAAGGGTGCGAGCAGAGCACTGGGACACCCGGGAGACCCTCACCCGGGGGTGGTTTCTCACTTTCCCTCTTGTTGTCTGGCGAGGACATGTACGCCAAGGCAAAAACCTCAAGAAACAAACCACACCGGGCACATGGGCACGCATGTCCGAATTCCTGAGAACGGAGAGGGGATTGTGGTGTGGCCATTCCCCGGGGGCACGCGCTCTCTCTCTAAATAAACAAAGGGAAGAGGAGGAGCACTGCTCTGCTCAGCCCTCGCAGAGACCAGGCTCGCAGACACAAGCCTCCCCTCTGCAGCAGTGTGAGCGGCCCCGCCACCTGGCGGCCACCACATGCATCGCTGTCCACTGGGGACTCGCCTGCCCCTGGCCAGGCTGTGTGGTGTCCCAAGACTGGGTGCCCTGCGGAACCCTGCTGCCCTGGACACAGCTGAAGCACGAGGGCAAGCAGTGGGGCCTCCCTGCCGCCACAGCAGTCGGGCACAGGGCACCAGCTCGCAGCTGGGTCTCCTGTTGGGCTTAGCAGTGCCAGGACGGCCTAGTTCCGTTGCTGCTGTGGGCCCCAGGTGCCTGCTGCTCGAGCGAGGGGTGACCCTGTAGCCAGTGAGAGCCCAGGAGACCAGGCCATGAGTCCTACTACTACACGTGAAGGGTGCCGACACTGCCCAGCCCGGGAGTGGGAGTGGACAGGGGCAGACTGGCAGTGTAGGCCTCTACTGGGGAGGCTGGGTCAGCACCCTCCCTCCAGACCCTCAGCCTCAGGAGGGGTGCTGCCACCCCATCCCTCCCCATGCCAGGTTCCCACCATCTCCACGCAGGTTGGTCAACCCTGGCCGACGAGCAACCTGCTACCAAGAACAGCCAAAGTCTGGGCACTGAGGGTAGGGGGAGCCACCGAGGCAGGAGGCAGGCACGGGTCGGGTGCCACACCTCACCTGTCCTGTAGCTTGCTGGACACCAGGCACTGGCCCACTGCAGCCCCATCCCATTCCCTGTGGGCGCCCCCCGAGTGGACAGCCTCTCCTGCCCAGCACTGACCCCACCACTGGGTGCCCATCTAATGGAGCCCAGGGGCTTGTCCCCAGCACTCAGGTCTGGACCAGTGGGGGGGAGCCTCTCTCAAGGGCCACTCCAACCCTCACCCCAACTTCCAACAGGGTTGCCAGACAGACAGGGACATGTCTGGGCCCAGCCCTCCCCTTAGGCAGAGCTGTCAGCCAGGGCCTCCAGTTCTGGGAGCCAAACTCCCCTGGGTGGTGCGGCCATGCTGGAGGCAGAGGGACACACCCTGCAGAGCACTGCCCGGTCACCTTCCCCGAGGTGATCTCTCAGCCAAGGCAAAAACAAGTATGGGTCTTCCGCTGGATGGCCAGAGGGCAGCACGGCACTAGGTCTGGGCCCAGCGCAGCCTGGATCAGGCAACCCACGCACGCTGGGCACACGTTTTCAGTACGGCTGTGCCCCACAAAGGGACTCTCCATTCTCTGGGCACATGTCCTCTGGCAGGATACTACGGGGCCCAGCAGGCTGGGAGGGCTCCACCACTGGACTCCCAGTCAGTTCCAGCAGCTTCACACACCAAATTCCTGAGAATGGAGGCAGGACTGTGGGGCGGCCATGCTGTTCTGAGGGTTACTTCTGTGTCTAGCACGCACACAGGCGCTGTAGCGCAAGTCTCTTGGGACCAGCAGATGGCGTCATGTCCACACCACTGGACTCCCCAGGAGCTCAAGAGTGGAGTCCTGGACCCAGTGGCTCAAGACTCACGCAGGGCACATGTGCTCGTGCGCCCCAAGTGAACGGAGGGATAGCAGCACGACCATGGGGGGGTGGGGGTGGGGGGCAACAATCTTTGTCCCTCTGGTAAGTCCATGTGCCCTATAGCAATAATCTCTCAGCAAACACAGGACCAAACCATGCTGCCATGACAGCCGAGGCAGACCCAGGCAGTCCACAAGGGCTTAAGGGGCCACTCTGTCCGGATGCAGCAACAGCAACCTCTGCTAGAAGGGGAATCCAGTTAGGCCTGGTCATTTTCCCACAAGCTATTACTTAGCCAGTGTCTAGCTGAATGACATGATTAAAATGCAAAAACCACCACCTAAACCAAGGCCCAGAAGGCAGTGTGGTGAAAAGCACTGGATTCCGGGACCATCAGCGTAATGGCTATGTCGCTGGACTCCCATGTAGTCAACTGCGGTTCGAGTCCCAGACCCAGGGGCTTAAATTCACGGCGGACCCATATGCTTGCCCAGGATCCAAAGAGGAAAATGGAGAAGGGATTGCGGTGTGGCCGTCCCCTCTGGGGAGTAATTTCCCACTTTCTTTCTGGCGATGTACCCTATAGCAAAACCCTCCCCCCCAAAAAAAGGAAAAACAAAACAAAAACCCTTGACTCCCCACATGGCAAACCACAGTTCAAGAGAAAGCACGCTGGGACCAGCAGTTAGTGTAATGGCTATGTCGCTGGACTCCCACGTAGTCGACCGCAGTTCGAGCCCTGAACCCATTGGCTTAAACTCACGCTGGGCACGTGTGCATGTGTGCCCAAGATCCCAAAAGGCTGGAGAAGGGACTGTGGCGTGACCATCCTCCTTAGGCATGATTTCTCGCTTTGTCTCTCTGGCGAGCACACGCACCCTATAGCAAAAACCTCTCCAAGAAAGAGAAAAGTTAAGTATGCCAGGCACGGGCATGGGCGCTCCAAATCCCAGGGAATGGATCAATGTGGCCGTCCACCCTGGAGACGCCTCCCCTCTGGCCAGTACACTCACCCGATGGCAAAAACCTTAAAGAAAAAAAAGCAACCTCGGTTCTGGGCTACTACCTCAAGCACACAGGCCCCACTACTACACGACACACACTGCAGACCCAGCTCCTCAGTGTCATTAAGTCCCCAACACATTTATTTTTTCTTCTCAACATCCTGTTCTGCAGCTTCCTTGGCTCTCTTTGCTCGGATGCCGAAGAGCCGGGCATTGGCGCGGGCCATGCGAAGGCTGGCGAAGGCCTTGAAGTTCTTCTCCTCCTGGGTGATGGGTCTGGCCTTCTCCTTCTTGTAGACCTGGGGAGGGTGAGGTCAGTGAGCTGCTGTGCTCAAGGCCTGCCCACAAGCACCCACCCAGAGCTTCCAGACAGACCTGCCTGAACACACTGGGCTGCAGAGGAAAAGGCAAGCATCTTCCCTAGAACTTATGAAAAAAGATCTCTCCCCTCATCTGGAGGGACAGGCGGCAGACCCTCAAGTTTCCTGGAAAAAAGGACAAGGACCATCTACCAAGGACCCATCTGGTAGTGCAAGGCTGTGGACCTGTGTCCTGAGGCCCCCAGATATGGAGCACATGGCCATGATGCTGAGGGTCGACCACGACATGAGGACCCTGGAGATGAAACCGACCAAGAGCCGCCTAATGCATTTTCTAAGTTCACTGGGATATGAGGCCCGCTTACACTGTAACGACCCAGTAAGAAGTCTTCAAGCTTTTGGTTACAACAACGACCGACTTGGACCATGTCAGTGAGGGTTGTTTGACCTCTAAAACTCACTTTAAAAAAACAAAGTTTTTATTTCAACCTGTAAAATGTTTTATAGGCTAAAAACTGCTCGTTGTTAATGGAAAGACTCCAGGCTAAATGGCTCCAAACACCTAAGGAGAAATTTATCTAAGGCGTCACCAATCAAGAACGCCCACAAAATTATCACACCCTCTTGAACCAATCACTAAACTAATCCTGCACATAAGACCTCTGCCCCTAATTTTTGCCCTTAAAAAGGCATGCGAAGGGAGGAACCAGCAGTTAGCATAATGGCTATGTCGCTGGACTCCCACATAGTCAAACGCGGTTTGTGTCCCGGACCCGGTGGCTTAAAATTCACGCCGGGCGCGTGTGCGTGCGTGCCCAAGATCCTGAGAGGAGAATGGAGAAGGGACTGCAGCGTGACCATGCCCCCTGGGGGGTGATTTCTCGCTTTCTGTCTCTGTCTGTCTGGTGAGCGCATGTGCCCTATAGCAAAAACCTTTCAAAAAGGCATGCGAAGGGGACCAGCAGTTGGTTTAACAGCTATGTTGCTGGATGCTCATGTAGCCCACTGTGGTTCGAGTCCTGGATCTGTGGCTTAAAACCATGTGGGCATTTGTGCATGCCCAAGATCCCAAGAGAAGGAATTGCAGTGTGGCCACCCCCCACCCCCTGGGGTGATTTCTCACTTTGGTGAGCGTAAGCACCCTATAATAAAAAACCCACCCTTCTCCCCCCCCAAAAATCCACGCATGTGAAGAACATCTTGGGGAGACCAGGTCTTTTCAACACAAGCTGCCTCCTCTCCTTGCTTTGCAACAAAGCGGTACGTTCCTTCATCACACCATGTGCCTACAGTTCAGACCACGCCCGTGTTCCCTTATAGAGAGCTTTCATAAAAGGGACAGTAAAACAATAAAAAGCCCATCTGTTAGAGGCCCGGGAGGGTCTTCCAAGGGCTTAAAAAATAAACCCGACCACTTGTCCCACTAATCCAAACCCTGAACAGTCACACGGTCGCCAGGTCTACTCCCTTCAGCCTGCTCCAGTGGAGCGTCCGCCCCATCCCGCTGGCATGTCTAGAGCCTGGCTCCAGGAACAGGCCGGGCAGACCACGCGTGCACTTACGTTCCGGATGGGCATCACGGGTCCTGTCAGCTGGGTGGCCAACTTGAGTTCTTCAGCCTGTGAACGAGAGTCAGGTGGGTCCAGCCGTGCCTCCCCAAGGGAGCCATGCTCATCCACTCAGCCTCAACCTTCATTATGTGCTGCGTCCTCGGGAAGGAGCCAGTGCCCTCACCCACGGCCGTGTGCTCCTGCAGGGTGGCTCCTGGCCAGCCACCCTCAGGCCGGAAGGAGCAAACCCCTCCTGTAAACCAACTTGAGGACACCCTCGAGACTGAGGCTGCCCCATGCTTCCAGGTCGTCCTGGAGACGTTTTCCAATATGAAGACTTTGGGGAGGAACCACGTGCACTGGGCCTGCCCCGTGAAGCAGTGTTAAGGGAACTGGATCACACGCAGCTGACCAAGGTTTCGAGTCCTGGCCCCAGCAGCCTGAAAAGCATGCCGAACGGTGTGCATGCCGGAACTCAGAAGTTAGGGCCGGGTGGTGGCCTTCTCTGCGGCCGCCTTGCCCACGCCCAGCCCT